TAATAGCTAGAGGTTCCATTGAAGAGGTATACATTTGTGATAGCAGATCTGTGTAATGCAACCGCCTGCAGAAGAATTAGTAGGCTGACTTTTCAGTCTCCTTGGAAGCCAACAGGAACTTGCATGACTTTGGAGCTTATGTGACTTCTAGTTAGTAATAATGGAAATTATTAAAGTATTAAAATGTAAACACACAGCTCTAGCCAATAAGGCCATTCTTAGACAATATATTTTTCCCTGTGCACACAGTACTAGATCCTATCAGTTCAATTTCAACAGTGTTATTGCTTAGTAGTTTCTTCAACATCTGTTTAATATGGTGGTATTATCGTGGCAGTTCCAGAAGTTGGAGTCCTTTATTTTTAGTTCAAGTGTATGTAGTATTGGCATTATTGCATAATAGAGGGGCTTGAGGGTAAGACTTTTCCAGACTGTTTGCCTTAGAGTTTAAGAAAATTATACTAAAGGGTTACAGCTGTCTTGCCTAGCAAGTCAGATTTTCTCCCTCAGACAGGCAGAATAAGTCAGTGGCAAGGATGTGAACGCAGACCAGTTATTGGCAAATAAAATAAGTGTGTGCTACATGGGCACTATCCAATGGGGTGCTTTTGCTCTAGCAGTTCAGTTACAGTCTTGTCCCCACTATTTGGCCAACAGCAATGTAACACTTTGAGGGAAAAGCACCCCAAGATGACCAGAAACATGTGTTTCTGAAATGAGGCTGGTCAGCAGAACTCAAATAAGGGAGCTTCACTGACCTGTCAATTTCCAGAATTTAGTGTTTCTGCTTATTTTGCAGCAGCTTCTAGGAAGCACTGAATCTCTGTTGTGTGAACAGAGTACACACTTGTACAAAAGAACTCACTGTTTGCTGAAGGGAATCAGTGGAATGGAAGTGGATTAGCTGGAGGAAGAAGCATCTCATTGGATATTGCCCTTTATCACATGACACCTTACTACTAATCTGTAATCTTATCACTAAAATACTATTTGTATTCATATTGAAAGGCATCTTCATACCCTTGCTAGAATAAAAATAATACTTATCAGTAGTTTCCTAAGACAGGAAGTTGTAAAAACTATTGAGACACTTGCAACAGAATAGTAAAGGTAGACTCAACTAACAACGCCTGCTGCAAAGAATATTATATGACAAGATGTCATGAAGCAAATATTTTCTCATCTTTCACCCATTCCCAAAGGTAGAAGAGCAGAGTTAAATCCAAAATGCTTATAAAACTCAAGGCAGAAAAGGCCAGAAATGTTATAGCTTTGGAAATAATTTGTGAAATCTATGAATGTTGAAAAGGCAAAGGGTGCAAAGGGTGGGGGAGAGACTGAAGGAAAGAATAAGAGAAACAGATAGCTGGCAACAAAGGTAGGAGTATAAAATGCTTTCATTGCAGTAAATACAGGTACTTGTGGAGCTACCTGCTACATTCAATAATAGGGTTAAGATTAATTTTAATATATATTTTAAAAGTACTTGTATCCCACATTGTTACTAACCAGAATGATTGGATTTGAAACATAATTTTATCAACACTTTCCTTCTATCCCTTCTTTTCCAATAAAAAGACATTTTTCATTATAACAAAGATTTCTTTCTGCTGTGGATTTTTATTATCTATAGATTATTGTGTTCATCTTTAGATCCGTTGTTGTTTATGTGAAAATGACCAACTCTCAGTGCAATGCTAGATTCTTTTACTTAGAAGTTAAGTCCCATTGATTTCATATTTAACACAGATAACACTTTTTAAGCGTGTGTATTCAAAGTGCAGAAAAAGGAATGGATAGATATAATACATAGATGATATTTTATAAAAATGCTAAATAAAGCTGCACTTGAAAAAGCAGAGGAGAGTCCACCATTTTTATGGGGAAAGGCATAAACAAGGAGTTAAAAGCAGAGTAGTAAATTCCAGATATTTGGTTAGACTACTATAGAAAACTGTTTTTCCCTTATAATTCTTTTGCTGTTCACATTGCACCAAAGTCTTGAGTATTTGCCAAAAGCTGTCACTGTCTGTCAACCAATAAAGTTTACTTAAAGCTATGCCTTTGTGATCTAACACTTGAATAATTTACTATCATAAAATAGTTTAAAGTACAAATGTTTAATGTTATGCCAAGCTGGATGCTAAAGATGTTTTTGTCTAAAACATGAGATAATGGAAAGTATATTGTGGCATGTGAATGACTTTAGCCTTTTGGTGGTAAATGTTTGCATAACCAGAAAAGAATGTGTTGAGACTCTTGCCAGTAGAAAGGTATTGCCATACGTTGCATTAAAGTACTGTAAATAAATCAGTAAATATGTTTCTGTTCATATGTTAATCCATGGATAATGAATGTTCTCTTTGAATTAGAAATGCAATATACTGTTATCCTTTTTTAAAAGGTTCCAGTAAGAACTGGTCATAATTACTGTGGGTTGAAAGAAACATGAAACCAAATATTTTCATGATGATTGAAGTTGGATTTGAGGGAAGTGGCCATTACTTAAAATTGTTTCTTCCAAAACTAGAGCAAAATTAAGTTGCATATTTAACTTGCTGAATTTTAAAAATAATTTTTGGTACAGTGTTATATAACAGTTACCAGCAATATTAATCTATATATGCATTGTGGGTATTGGTAAAGTCTTCTACAGTATATATATTCTGTACTAATCAAGATTAGTAAAGAGAGTGGGAAACTATGTCCTAAATGTACTTTACATTTAATCTCTAGATTCAGTGGATTTAATGGACCTTCAGAAGACATCAGTAGTCATTCCATAATTACAGCTCCTTTTGCTTTTTTGCAGTAATTGCTGAGATGATGTTGATTGTTTCAGGGTTTAGGGTTTGAAAATTTTGCTTCTGAAATGTTTAGAATTTGAAAGGACTGTAGCATTCTTATGTCATAATTATAAGGAATAGACTTGGATGAGATTACTGCAGTTATTTAGAAAAACTCCTGGCTTTGAATACATCATCCAAAGAAGGAGAAAGTCTCCCTTATATGGAATTGGCTGGTTGATCCAAATCACATGGATAAGCCAGAGAACACAAATAAATGAGGTTTTCTTCTGGGAGTACAGTTTGCAGCTGTTAATGTGAATGGTTCTGAATTAAACTACAAAGTTATAGCATTTAAAATTCTGTTTCCACAAACAAATATTATTAATTCTACCAAACCATTAAATTTCTGGTAATATTGCAACACACAGTAGTACTGTTCTGTAAATTTTATAAAGGGAAATGTCCAAATTTGAACCATATGGAGGGATCCCTTGCTGAATATTTGTGGTTCACTGGGGTTGCATATAACTTGTAGCCCCACCCTTCCCTGTAGGGAACCAGCAGGATCCAAGAGTGGAGGTGCTTCAGATGTGCCTTTCCCTCTACTTTCAGGAAGACAATGACCAAGCAACTCAATGCTAAGGCACTAACACAATTTTGCATTGAAATACAATTAAGTTGATTAGGCAGAGCTGGCATAAGGGTGTCAGGACTGATGCTGGATTTGGGTGCCCTCCTTCATGGAAGACATTTTGGGTCAATGGGCAAATGCATAGAAGAGCACCTCTTCAGAGTGCAGTTGTACCATTAAGTAAAACAGGTGAAGCTTCAAGTTCAAAATGTATTTGTAAGATACACATTAGCTCCATATGCTGAGAATTCATGCCATGCTTACATTAGGGCTTTTAATTTATATACTCAGTTTGAGCACATTGTTGTTTCCAGCTTTTCAGTATGAAGTCCAAGACCAAATACACTGAACAACCTCAAAATTGGACAATCATGTATTTGCCTCATAAGAAGATACCACAAGATAGTTATAGTATCCCACAACACTTACTAAATATGCACATAGTGAAATATGCCACACTTACATCAGGGCTTTTATATACTTTTATTTGTTATTCCATCCTGGTAGGGTGCTCAGAACAGCTAATGTGTACAGTGGTAATACTATAATGAGATGAAAGGTACCCTGATTTCTAATAAAAATCTAAAGGGGAATGAGTTTGGGAGCTACAGCTCTGTCAGATTATTAAAATGTTATTTAAGTCATCACAATCTGGAAAGCAAAAATCTGGTGTATGTGTATTCAAAATGAGAAATGTGAAAATTGAGCAGTTGTACATCCCTGCCTTTAAAATGGTTGGAAAGGATTGTATTTCACATAGTTAAGGTACTTCCACATCATCCAGAAGTGCAATATTTTGTATGCCTATACTCCAAAAATCTCCAAAGTACTCTAAGAGCCTGAAAATTGTCCAGTTTTGAACCTGTCTCATGTCAGAGGCCAACCAACTAGTACAAGAAGGCACATTGGGGAAGAATATTAACTAGAGGGAATTCTATTACTGAGCTGGGGGTTTCCACTGGCAGCCTGGAATGTCTTTCTGTGCTTGCAGCATGCAAGCGGAATTACGTGCATGTGTGTGGTTTGGGTTAACCAACTCACCTAGGGTACCAAACATTTGAATTATTCGCACATAATCCAAAGTGGTAAAATTTAGTTCACATTTAGCCTCATGAATCCTGATAATTTGTAAGCCGCCCCGAGGCTTCGGCGAATGGGGCGGCATAAAAATGTTTAAATAAATAAATAAATAAATAAAATAAAATAATTTAAAGGGGAGGACTGAAGGGGTATATTTGCATAATGTGTCCCTTGAAATTGTAGGCCATTATGCACAACAAATGGTCACAATACTTTAGTACTATAAAGTGGCAGACATGTAGTGCTCATTTGCCCCAGACACACTGATCCAGTATGAAATGAGACAGTTTTGTATCTGAGTGATAAAACAATGAGATGTGAAGTTTGTCTTATAAGAGAAGCCTGTTTTCCAACCCAGAATAGGTAGCTTACACTTTGGGTTGCAGAAGTTCCATTGTTTACTCACATGCTTGGATTTGGAAAAAGGAAAATTCTAGTAACAGCTAGGAATATTCCCTAATATTTGCAGGATGATTAACTCTTACAATTACTTTTCAAAGGTATGAAGAACTAGATGCCAACAAAGGCCTTCTAGAAAATTTGAAAGGGAAGGTTATCATTGAATACCCAACTTTGCATGTGGTTTTGCAAAACGTCAAGACAGACATGGTGATTCTTGGCCATGGTAAGACAGAGTTATTTGCCTCTTTTTTTTCTTCATAAAAGTGTTTTGAACAAGAAAGAATTCAGGCATTTATTCTCCCTTTAATGCCAGGAATGAGTATCCACTTTGATGTTAGCCTGTAAATATAAAGCATTTTTGCTGTGCTGCAGTTATGTGCTCTGTAGTAGCAGGTTGGCATCTTTGTTTATTTTTGCTAGTAAAAGTTTATATAAGTTAACTGTTGCTATAGCATCATTAGCATTTTTCCACTTACCAGTTTATGATGTGTAAAATATAGCAAAACAGCTAGTCCCTTGTTTCTTAGCCATCAAATCTGACGAGTAGATGGACACACACCTGTCATACAAATACCCTTCTGAGTTATTTTGCATTCTAGTATTTGTGAACATCTGCAGTTCATTTGCTTTACCAGATCAAATGTCTGTTTGGTAATTGGAAGTTTATATTATTTCGAAAGCAAATACAATGCTGGAGTATCTTTTTCAAATTATGGTTGGCTATATAACTGAGGAAATTTTGTTTCATTTACTGTGAAACCTTTAAAATATCTTGGAAAATAATGCTTCCAGTTCATTTTTTTGCTAATCTTATATATTCCAGTGTTAATATACTAGGCACAAATAGTAACATATTTTTAAAGTTCTTCCACATTTTTCTTTTTATGTTAAAGGCATGTTTACATGCTACCTCCAGGAACAGAGACATCATGCTTCTGAATTCCTTTTCCTGGGATAAAGCCATGGGGTGTGGATAGGTATCTGGTTAGGAATTGTGGGGAACAGAATGTTAGACTATATAGGTGTGACAAATGGGAATTTGGAATGCCAGCTTTGCAAGGTATGCCAAGCTACAAGGCACACTTTCAGTTCAGAGGCTGCATTGCCACCCATCTGATTTACTTACAAGTTTTGGCCCAGACATAAAGGGAATCCAAGCTTCTTGCTTGTACCCATGGAAATGGATAGCCCATGAGTCTAGGACATGTTAAGCAGAAAGACAGTCCCACAACTCCCATTATTCCTCACCCTCCCATTTTGTACTACTCTGTTGTAATATTGTATCTTCTTTTTTCTTTTTTTGTCTAAATATGCATAAGATTACACAATCACCTTGAAACCATGGTAGATGGCACCAAATGGTCTAGGTTGAGCAAGGTCAATCCAGGTTGTGGAAAAGAACTCAATCTGGTTTCCAATTGAAAGTATGTATTTAGGACTAAGCAGAGAGAAATCCAGAAAAGTGAAATGAACTTAAAATTAACCAATTAAAAGTATGGTGTAGGTCATATAGATAGAGGAAAGGACATCAGCAGGAATGCCAGCATTTAGGTTTCCCTCTTATTCCTAACCATTTCCCACCTTTCTCTTGTTAACTTTGTGCCTACCCATTCATAGATGTTATACAAACTACGCAGAAAAACCCTGAATGGAACATTATCTGTCCAACCCTAACCCTCCCCTACACTATTTAAATTTTCAAAACAGTGTTTCTGATCAAATTCCCCATCTTTGGATTCTGTATTTTGAAATAAGTAATTGAAATGCTAACTTCCTTTGTTAATTGTTCTTGAATATTTGCTGATGTTTGAAAAGGTCATGGTTTGGCTCTGGCTGTAGCAGAAGTAGTAGATTTAGCTATAGCACAGAAGTTGGCATAATGTACTGCTCTCATGTGTTCCTTTTTGCCCTCAAACAAGTCCCTTTATATGGGATTGGACAGTAGGTACTGATGAAGGAATTGTACTGTTGAGGTATTCTCCTGTTTTGGAGCCCCTGTGCTTCAGCAGGTACGTCTGAGTAGAGTAGGTGAGAAAGCAGATGAACATGAGCTAGTCAGAACAAGAATGAATGACTCAGCCTTGATTGAACAACCCAAATATCAGTCAGTTGAAAGGTCCAATTTGAAAATTTAATGAACAGTCTTTTTGCAGCCAGGCTTATCTAATTGGCACAGAAAAACTGTTTTTAGTCTAAAAGGAATTACTGAAAATAACTAGGGTTGACATTTCAAGAGCTGCCATTCTCAATGAATAAATTCCAAAGTCTGTATTACCACAATACTTTTATTAGTCCATCCAAAATGTCATAAAACATTGTGTTGTTGTCACTGAATCTTTTACATTCCTCCAAGAAAATTTCCAATGTGATTCATAGAATATTTTCATGCTTTAGGCTTTACCTAGTTCCCACATATTGGAAAGGCAATGTCACATGTTAACTGTTAAGCTCCCCCTTCCTATTTAGGAGAGTGAGAATGACCTTCCTGCCTTAGAAGGCTTTTGGTGCTTTTACAGAAGGTGACATTTACTTGGTGGAAGAATTTTGAATTCAACTGAGATACTATTTTCCTCCTCTACTTTGTGCTTTAGTTGAATGCCTTGTCGTATAATTGAAGCTTTTTAAATTGTGTAGCTTTATTGCATCATTTTATTGTAAATGATGAGTTTTTTGCTAAGAAAATCTTGTTGGCCTGGAAATGAGAGGGAGAACTTAGAAATGAAAGGAATAGGCTTTCTAGAAGTAATTTACAGAATGTTTCTCACTCCAGAACACTTGGCAGCATTCTTGCAGCTGCCTATAAAAGGTATATTGAATGTAGCGAGAGATCTCTAAGGGAATGGGGTTCTTATTTCTGACTGGGAATGCTAGATGCAACACTTCAGGCTATGTTTCAGAGGTTGCATTCATGCAAATCAAAGTATTTTGATTTATGTTGCCCCCACAACTTTTAGCAGGCACCATAGTTGTATACATAGAAGGGATTTGGGATTACTGTCTTCTGCTGAAAGTTTGGGCCAGGTCCCATGAAGCCTGATCAGCTGTTTGGTTATTGCTTTTATAGAAGAGGGAGCAGCTGGCATTTTCCATGACTTGCCATCTCAAAAAAAGTGTTTATTGCATTACATTCAAGGGGAATGGCATACTTTTCAGCCTGATAACGAATTATATTGCATGGATGTTAAAAAATGGTTTCTGGGTTCCTACTTGCCTCTGTTGTTTCTGCCACATTAGGTTGAATTTTTTTCTTTTTTTTTAGGTTGAAATTTTTTATTTAAATAAAAACATACTAAAAAAATACATTCTGCCACATTAGAGGGCTGCTAGAGGGCTGTTATGTGAACCAATGAGTGTAGGTTATACAAGAGTCAGACAATCATGAAAAGATTGTTGGATTATTGTGCAAACCAAGCAAACATAGGTTATATAACACAACCCCTTCCTTCCCCATCCAAGGTCATATATTTGATTTGGCATCCACAAATGCTGCAGCTCTCCATAAGTTACATGACCCACACTTGAGCCACAGAATGTCCTGGTCAGATCTGTTCAATAACTTTTCAAGAACACTTTTTTCTACAAGGTTGTTCAGAAGCTTGGACATAGAAAGAACTTATTTAAATCTAGCTGCTAATATCATAATATTGTGCACCTCTTCCCAGCTGATAACCCTGTGAACACTTGCTAATAAGGTAAAATATTAAAACTCTGATGTTAAGAAGTGGTTGTCAAATGAGCCTAATCAACCAGTTCAAGCAAGCTCTGAATAAATAATCAGCATTGTTTGGTTGCTCTCCGTATTATAGAACATCACTCTTCTGTAGAAAAAATGCAGTGATGTCATGGATAAGAATGCAGGCTTTAACTAAACACTTCTTCAAAAACCAATTGAAATATTTATTGTGAGACATGGAAACTTAAAAGATTCATGAACTACTTGAAACTACACATTCCTTCTGTTGTGGCCACTTTTAAAAGACCTTTACAGAGTCATTGCAATGAGATGACTGGAATTCTGGATTGATATTCTTGTTTAAGGATATCTAATAATGCATTAGTTACTTTTGTAATTAACTGTAAATAGTGGCCTGTGTTCTGTAAGTTTTAACAGATAAATAATAAAAAGTAATTTGAAAATCCATTAAATATAATTTTAAGTAGATTGTTTGCTCTGCTTCATGGAATTATTCCATAATTGTGGAATTATGAAGTCCAGTTCATGTAAAGAAAATACAGGTACATTTCTGTCTTTCTGTCTGCAGCACCATCTGTGCTAGAGTTACTAAAGGATTATAGATGTTTATACAAAACTTTCTATTTCAGTATTCAGTCCATGCATAGCATATAGATGCGAATTGATCATACACTATATTTTAATATAGACGAAATGCAGCAGTGGATGTTTCCAGGTAAATTGCTCTTATTTCCCTGACCAGATTAATTTCATTTGTTAGAGTGAGATGCCTTTCTCTGAAAAGGACAAAGACCTAAGGCATCTTACAGCAAGAGTCAAAACATACAAAGATTTAAAACAACTATCCTCCCTGCCTGTACAACATTTCTGTATAGCTTATTAATGATTTCATATTCACTTCTGATAATCCTCTAACAAGGAATTCTTGGCATCACGCACACAAAACAGGTCAATTGTGTTAAGCCTTTGGTGAAAATACCCACAAAAAGCATTGTGTGTATTTCCTCATCTAAAGAGGCATTGTTGGGGTGTAGCAAGAAAATTGCAGTGAGCCAGATGGTGGAAAAAAGAGCGCACATCAGGAAACAAGAGCTCCATATGATGACATGATGACTAACCAAGCATCAGTCAGTCTTAGAACTCTGGACAGCTTGAATCCATAACATCTTTGGCTCAGACATGCAAGCTATGCTGAGATGTTGAAATACACAAAATGGCAACATGCATGCATCATGTCTTAATTTTGTTGAAAGGATTCCAACATGAAAAAATTATCAGCAGTTGTCTTCTGTGTAAATAAAAATCAAACACAGTACTGCCTGACATACATTCTTAATGGATGCTAAGAGTCAGTATAGGAAAAATGCTCATTATATGGCTCAGATAGGTATAACTAAAGTGTCATATTGATACTGAAGTGTCATATTATTGATCCTCTGCCTCTTTTCCCCCCATTCATATATGCAGTTAAAAAAAGAAAAATAGGAAGGCGCTAAAACAGGCTTGTGCTAGAATTCCCATCATTCCCAGCCATCTTGGAAGCACACATTACAAAATATCTGTGAAATTTATGTATCTATTTATGTAACTGCAGCATGGTGGACCATAGATTTTTCTCCCATCCCACCCCATTAACAGTAAACTGTTTCTGATCAAAAAGCATACTATTTTGTTAGCCTATCTGGAGGAAGTAGAACACCAACCCCCCCGCCATTGTGTCTATCAACTATGCCAGAGTCAATGCCCCATAAATAATAATATGATTAACTGTATGTCATGGAATGAATCTTCTCCCCAGGAAACAATCTTTGTCCCCAAGCAGTTCTGAGTGAGCATCCTGCAGTAAGCCTGGGGCGGCTGATTACTTTCCCCACAGTCCCTCTTGCTGCATACATTTCCATTCAAGCTTCCAGTTTTTCTGGCTCCCAAGAAATGAACTAATAAGTTGCTCAATCAGTCTAACCCAGTTAGTGTTGGTAAAGGAGCAGGGAAGGCTTCCTGTCCCACATGGTGGAGGCTGAGTACCGTGGGCTCTTGAACAGTCTGTAACCTGACTCCTTGCCCCATCCAAGGGTTACTTTGGCCTCAACAGTACATATACCTGGGTCCTGGTTTCTTCCAAGTCCTATCCACCTCTGCCTCCTTACTTGTCCGCCCTTCCATTCAACTTGGTTTCCCTCCACCATTGTCTTTATTCCTTCTGAACATCCTGCCCCCTCTCCTGTCTTCCTTTTATACAACCCCTTCTCCCTTGCCCCCCTTTCATCACTGCCTTATGGTGCTGCTCACTTAGGCTGAGGGAGCACACTGCGAGAGAGTGAAGGCTGATGAGGTCAGTGACTTGAAACATCTCTGCCCCAAGTTTCTCTGAGCTTGCCAATTGTGCTGGCCTAGGGGCCTGACTACGTACAAAATGTTGGGTGCCTGGTAAGTGGCGGCCAGCCTCAGTGGCCCTTCACAAGTTTGCACTTTGTGTGCGTGCGTGCGTGCGTGCAAATATGGATATACATGCAAACACAGGTCAGTGCTGTTTTTTAACCTTTGTGGACTTCTAATGCACTGTGCTTCTCATTTTCTGTATGAAGTTTGCATGTAAGAGTATTCTTGTTGGATCTGTGAGGAAAGAACACAGAAATCCTTTGTTTTTCTTCTATAACCCTTCCCTAGTGGGGCAAAAGGTGTCCACTTCTGCAGTGAAACTCTCCCACTATACATTCAGTGATTTCTTAGGGAGAAATTTACAGGACAATATTTTTGCACATTCCAGCTGTGTCCCCTTTTAATACAGAAGTCAAGTGGAGTCATTTACTTTATGGTAAAAGTAAACACAGTCCTTCTCCCCTGGACGGAGAAGGGCAACTGCAGTGGGAGACTCCCACTCACCTGGTCAGGAAGGGGCCACTTTTCTCAATCACTGGATGACTTCCTGGAAGGCTGGCAGAATAATGCTGAACTTGACCCTGAAAATGACACAGAACAGTAGGAGGGATGGAGAGGAAGGGAATCCCTTAATTAGAGCTGCTTCCACCTGATTTCCTACAAAGTATTATTTAGAGCAAGCAGAAAAGAAGACATAGCCAGCAAAGTGCTCTTTTGACAGCCTTTCTGGCCAATATTTCATGTTCGTTCTCCAACATAGTCAAAATGAAACTCTGTTGCACTCTAAGGTGATGGGTAAGTCCCAGATGAGGCTTATACTTTGGGCTTATTTTTCTGGAAGGACAGTTTTTGGAAACACCCCCTGGTAGAAGCCACACTGGTAGAAGCCAGTGACAAGAAAAAGGCTCTGCCCAATCATCTAAGAAGGACAAGAAGCCAGCTAATCTCAATTCTTTCACCCCTCCAAGCTTTTCTGTTCTTCCAAACATGGCTTCAGAGAGTTCAAACCTACATGGCAATAGTGCCAAAAGATCCAGTCGGTCAACACAGTGCTTAGACAGGAAGTCCAACTTGGCCTGACTGTCCCTATTTGGAATTCTCATATAGAGGAATATTAAAAATAAGTATGTTCTAGATATTGTGACCAAGAGATACTTTTTATATCTAGCACAACTTCTGAACAACAATGGAACTGAACAGTGGTTCTTTAGCTCCTTCGTTGGTCCCTGTTCTGGATCAAAAAAGTGGAATATTTTCCCTAGAGAAACAGATAGACTATCCTGGACTCCTGTCCTGCTTTTGTGATGGGGAATCAGCATTGCAAATTCTCCCATTGGAAGGATCATCAGACCTGTGAACTAAGGACTGAAACTATTCTGTGCTGTGGTAGCAATGCTTATTACATCTTTCTGCATCAAGTCTCTTTGTTATTTCTAGGCTTTTGAAGCTAACTGCCTGGACACTGAGAATGGTGTCATCGATCATGAAAATTTCCTGAGATGGTCATAGACATGCTCTTGCCTTCCAGACATTGTTCGCCCAATACAGTGTTAAATGAAAGGTGTTAATCCATTGGTGTTAAAGCAACAACAAAAATTTGTATTGCACGTCCTATGGTGGTCATTAAGTATCTTTAAGATAATTTGCCTAGCAGTCTGAAACGTGCTTTGAGTAGACAGATTCAGTCTACAGCAGTATTTGAAATGAGTCAAAGCCCCACCTCTCAAGTAATCATCCACACATATGCAGTTTTTTAAGTGTGGCCTCCCACCTGAACCCAACATCTGGTTCTCATCTGAAAGTTCTGTTGGTTCCAGTGCCCTCCCTTTGAATGACTGGAATCTTCAACATCATTGAGAATTCTCATACTGAAGATGGTATTTCTGTCAGTGTTTTGGAAGCAAGCATGAGTTTAGTTACTCCCAGCTAGCTGCTAGCTTTGACTTGGCAGAGAAGGAAGCTGGCAGGCTCTTTGTGAGAACTTTAACAAAAGAGGGGTGGATTTTGGAGGTGTCACACAGGTTCATATGTCTTTCCTGAAGGGCAGAAAGGAGTTGTCTTGCATGGAAAGACCCAGGAAAGCCAAAAGGTTGGACACCCCTGGACTAAACCTTTGCACGTGTGAATTTGTTGAGATCTTTTTCTAAAACACTTGTCTTTTAATGCCTTGGAAGGTTTACCCAAAACATCCTTCAAGCCCTTGCTCAATATCTTGAGCTACAGAGATTACAACAGGGAAACTGAGTTGTCTGGATCTCTGACATATTTATAGTTGCTAGCTATGGATTTTTGTGTAATTACTTACGCCACCTATAGCTGGTCATCACTCACGCCTTCATTTCTGATTGTAACCATTAAGCTTTAACCATGGGATTTGCTACTGTAAGAGTCTCACTGATTTGACATTATTCTCTAACTGGTGTTCTCCTCGTTCGCCAAATTCTTGCTGGGCTCCTTCCTCATACCAAGTGTAAGAGGATGCAGAATCAAGTACTTGGCTTCATGGTTGGCATATATGGTAGTCCTCTTTTATTGCATGCTACATGAGAATCCACTACTGGATTTAAGGTTTGGATACCTTGCCAGCCCTGTGGTTAGGGTGCTTTTCCCTTCTAGCTACCATCAAGAATACAAAAACGCACAAGCAAATGAAAATCCTCACAGGAAGTCCAAGTCTGTACTTTAAACTGATTATTATTTTGCAAGGACAGTTACATTTATGTAGGATCCATTTAAGGAGGACTCACTTGGCTCAGCATCAGCTGTGTAATTACTGTAATTCTTCCCTTCACTTTAGATGCCAATAAATCGAGTGATGACTTGATTAAAGGAGCTTCATCTGAGGAAGAAGGTGAAATCCATGATAGTACATGAAGAAGCCAAATCAGATGTGAGGATGGAGCAGCATATTTTACACCTGACCTTTGAAGACATATTCAATAGAGATATTAGCTTGAACATCCACTATTTATAATATCCCAAATCTATAATTGTTGAAAGGCGTAAGAATTGTTTATGTACACATACCTAATAAAGATTAAGCATCCTAACATCAGTTTTCTTTGTGAAAGTTACTGACAAAAATAGGATTTTTCTTCGTTGTGGCCTCTGTGCATCACACACATGGAAGATGTAGATGGGAAGATTCAAAAGCTTAACCGTTTTGGCAGGAATGCCATGCTCCCCCCCCCCCCCACAGTACAAGAAGGTGTAGTGCCTGCCATTTCCCCAGTCTTCTTGCAACCGCGGTTTGCTGTGCCTTGAGCCATTTGTCTCTTGGCTTAGATATACTTGTTGTTGTTCTAAGCTGTTCTATTGTTCCTTTCTCTTGTTAGATCCCTTGTTAAGATCTCCCTTCCAAGTTACATTATCTCCCTGCCCCATTTAGAAGTTCTTCTAAATCCCCTTTTCCCCTTTCCCCCAAAAGTGTGTGTGTGTGTGTGTGTGTCCTCCTATCGTTACTCTTTTTTTGCTGTACTTTGCTATCTATTTTCCCTTGATGGCTCAGCATGTGGCTTTCCGCAAGTGTTCCCAGTGCGGGGCCAAGATGTCCCCTCTGACCACATGATCTGTACCTTCTCTGTCTGGGAGAAGGCCACAGAATTGATAAGTGCGGCCATTGTCAGGCCTTCACTAAACAGGCGTGCAAAAACCGCGAAAACCACCTGTGTAAGTTACTCTGGGACCAGGCTCTGGCTGCCTCCGACCAACTCGCGGCCCAGCCCACTTCTCAGCCCTCTTCCTCAACTGCACCTTCCTCTCGCACATTGGCCAAAGGAGCGTCTTTGCTGGAGGCCCAACTCTCTCTCCCTCCTCACAAACAAAAGGAGAAGAAGAAGCATAGTGGCTCAGAGAAGTCCTCGGTCCATAAGAAGGCCAAGAAAGACAGAGTGGACAAGTCGGCTTGTAAAGTGAAGAAGGCTGACCAGCCGCATCGTCAAGACTCGGAGTCGTCTGCTCCATCAGTCCCAACCGTGTCATCGATGCCAACACCAACTGACCCTAGCCTTGCTGGCCATGCAGGTTACCCACCAGGGTCCCCTCAGCGGATCGCTACCTCGGCCCTGTCTTCACTGGACTGCCAGGAAGCAGCCTTACTGGGATTCATTTCTGATGGAGAAATCCGGGACTCCTCAGATGGCCTTTCCAACGGCACGCTTGCTGACTCCTCAGCCTTCGCCTGAGGTTTCCTCGAGGGCCCCTCCTTAGCAGGTGTGCCAGCAGCAGTGTGCCTCTGGTCAGCCTTCTGGAGACTGGGTGCAGATGCCCTATGGAGTCTCCCATCGGGAGCCTTAGGATGATTTCCCACCCTACAGATATTACCCATCTGTGTGTCAGCACCGTTCCACCTCGTCTCCGATACTGAGAGAGGCTTCCTCAATGTCAGTGGCTGTTCAACCCAGGCGCCCTTCCTCGCCAACCGACTCCTCTTCCAGTCCTCCATCCCAGTATGACTTGGATTCAGGGGACTTGGATGCAGCGCCCACTTCAGCGCCTTTTTTTCTTTGTGTAGCGATTGGTTGCTTGAGTTCTTTATATGCTTTGGTGAACCATAATCTTATTTTAGCTTTTCTACCTGAGGCATTCATTTTGTATTTAGCATTTCTTATTCATGGTTGTTTATCATTTCTTTATATGACATTATGACTTCTTTTCAGCACACTTTCTATTTTTGAAGAGGAAAAATGGAGCGTTATTTGTGAAAGAAAGCTTTTTGTCCTATTCATATAGTTTCTATATTCTGATATAGCACAGTACCAGTTAGAAGTTATATAGTGGAAAAGCAGGAGAGAAAAAGCTCTTTGTTTAGCGCTCAGATCTGAATTCTGCAATGAAACTGAGAGTAGATACAGTGGATATAACAGCCTTGTGTTTAAAAGCTCTGACTCCCTGCCTTTATCATGCATCCACAGAATCAATAGCCATCCCCAAAAGATCACTTCTAAGAAGCTTGACAATGACAATTACTAGCTCAATTATCTTGAGCATCATTCTTCCTCTTGTCCAGATATTCCTGTTTTAGTGGCCCAATAAGACTGCTGTGGTGGTGTTTGTTTGCTTTTTTTTTGTTTTACTTCATCCAGGAGTTGAACCAAATTGATATTGCATAAAGAAAAGGTAATGTTTAAACTTCCTATTCTAAATGTGATACTGTATTATTGTTAATTTATCCAGAAAAGAAGCAAAACTCTTAAATGATTTTTTGTAGCATAATGTGCTGAGTGGGAAGGTGCTTCATCATTTTTCTATGAATAGGTCTAAACTGATAGTTTGTTCATGGTCTGTACTGCTCCTTGCTTTGTAGCTTAGGCCCTTTGGAGTCTCTAGGGCAGTGCCTAATTCTCCCTGTGGATACACTGAAGCTAGTACTGCTATGGATAATCACACTTTTCCAGTGCCCGAGACAGATGACAATCATTTAAGCATTCATTCATTTAAATTGGATTGTAAGGCTATAGACTGAAAAGGAACAGATAACAGTAACTTTTTCTCCTGCTGGTTGTTCGTACTGTATGGAGTGTGGTTCCCAATGCTACACTATTTAAAGGCTGCCCTCCAAAAATACAAAATTACTAGGGGTTAGTGCCAAGGCTGGGAAAGCTTAAAGAAGGGTATTTAAATAATTCCACTTGAAAAGTCTTCATCTCAGTCATTACTTGCAAAGGGATTTATCATATCCCTTCCAAATCTAACCTTAAACTGATCTGCTATGGGCACAATCCTGTGGCCTCTTCACATCATCTGGGTGGCCATTCAGAGTCTCATCTCCAAGATCCTGCAATCTCATACTCTGAAGATCTCACCCCACTTTCCACAGCCAGTGTGAAAAGCACCATTCCTGCTGCTCCCCCCATCCTTGGAAGGAGGGGCATTCTACCAGTAGCAAGGAGAGGAGGATGAGGGCAAGGACTTGTATCAGTTCATATTAGCATTCTACCCTCCTTCCCCCCCCCCCACCGCCCTGCTGTTTCTCTAGAGAACCAAAAACAGTTCAGCATCACACAGGCATGTCTTTTCATGGATAATTATTTGCAGTGTCAAATGCTTCCTGCTACCTGATCCACTGGCTGTCCACATTGCATTCTTCTATGTTAGAAGCTGTAGATGCTAGTGCAGTGTAATCACATATGCCAAATGGGCTGGATGGTTCTGGATAAACTTCGATTTACACATACAGACCAAAATTAAGCAGTTGACAGTTTTTGGATGAATACCCTAAAAATCTTAACAATTTGTTCAACTGCACTGCGCAATGGTTTCCCTGGGGGAATGGTGAGTATCTCATTAACTGAGTCATTTAAAGCTAGATTGGACAAAGCACTGGAAAAAGTGCTGTGGTAATAGCAACTTCAGCTCTTGTGTTGGTACATTTGCAGCTTCAAAGTACTAAATAAACATTAGCTCATTGTGCTCACATAAAAGGGTGAGTTATTACATATTATGATTGTTTTATTGTTTTTATTTTACAGAACGGGGGAGGTGCAGTTGTGTAGCAAGTCCCATGATTGTTCCAGGACACTTGGTAGAATACCAAAGCAACAGCAAAATAATGTGATCTGTTTACTAAATTAGCAGTCTATATGAAGGTCCTAAAGGAATAGGGTAATTTAGGAGTGAGAACAGTGCATGTCTAGCGAAGTACTAGCTGCACTGACCATGGGTGATTCCCTACGGTTTAAGGGAGGGGGAGGAGATTAATCTTTTGGTGGATCTTGCTCACCATGCTGAATTACTTCCTTACTGCCTGAGATGACCCTGACTTACACACTAAAGAAAAAAAAATGGGTTTTTTTGGAGGCAAGAGAAAGGAAAGAATTATAATCACAGATTTATATAAGCAAATGAAATCTGAGTTTCTCCTTATGTAACTTCTGTATCTTATTGCAAGTTCTATATTTAGGATTAAAGTGTGTCCCACAGATCAATATGGATTGACATTGAGAGGAATGTAGATTTAATCCTGTATATATGAAAGTTGGGATAGCACTGGGATAAGCAGAATTTGATCGTGTTGGGTGAATTCATTGAACCAAATTGCCACATTACCTGTCCATGAAAAAAATTTAAAGAGCTGCCATTCCTGCCAGTTGGCTCATTTACATGAATATGGTTCAGTAACCTTTGCAGTCCAAATGGTTCCTCAGCACTCTACCAGCTGCTTGCTGATCTCCTTCTTGAATGTGCATAAGGGCTGTTTGAAAGCAGTTCTGCCTTAGATCTACCTGTATGCTGCAAAAGTCAAAAGATAATAGAGGTGCCAACTGATGGACCACCCCAGAAGCCTGTCCTGCAATGAACTCTCAATTCCTCTCTAGTCTGTGCATCACACATACGGGCTTTTGCGCGTGCACAGAAAGCCTGGATCTAGAAAAACCTTTGAAGCTTAGAGTTCACTTTAGGTGGAAGCCCCTCCCCTTCTTGTGTCCAGGAAATACAAGGAGGGGCTCCCCCCCCTTGCCTCAGTTCCTATGGAGACCACCAATAGTCCCAGAACCACAGCGCGGTTGAGTAGAGGTTTCAACCCCTTCTGGCCCTGAACATCCTTGATAGTACCACTGCATGGTACAAGATAATACAAAAAAAGTCTGAACTGCCGCCGCACATCACTCTTGTCTTAGATATTTTGCAAGAACAGCCACTGAAAGGTAAAATTTAAAAAGGTCAGGAATATGAATACAGAGGTATGGAAAGAGTGTTCAGACAGCCATAGATTCCTGAGACCTTTTAATGCTCCACATTTTAGAAATGTATCAGGTGTTTTCTTATAACTCAAGCAGTGGGTCTACAATATTGTTTTTGCATTCCTCTTAGTTGCATCTAAGAGTAAAAGCAAGAGAAACTGAACATCCAAAGATTCAGTTTCATTTTTCAGCCACAAACAAGCAATATATTTTACTAGCTGCAGTAGAATTTCCAGGTGGTTTCACAACTACAGCTCCAAATATGTAGTGTTCCTCTTTGGCCTAAATGTGTAGCAATTGTCTTAGCAATGCTATTTGCAGATCATTATTTTGAAACAATTCTAAAAAAACACAGACTTGCTTTTGAG